TCCCAACCCCCCTCTGTCATTACCAACTACTACCCCATCTCCCCCCTTACTTTTACCTCCAGCAGTTGTGCTCTACTTCTGCTGGGTTAAAGAAAGATCACTCAATGGAAGTAATAATAAAAAACACACACACACACACACACACACACACACACACACACACACACGTGTTCGGGAAGGTATCAAGTGCACAGGGGGGGCCCGCGACCTTAACAACTACACTGCACATTAAACGAAAAATGTAAAAAAAAAAAATCTGTCTTGGAGCCCAGGCCTCCCCACCCGCCTGGGCCCCTCACACAAGTACCGGTTGTACCCCCCTGATGGCGCTCCTGGCTGGGGATTCAGATCGCGACCCCCCCCCCCCTGTTCACTTGCATGACCCCATATGGGGTCGCAACCCACACTTTAAGAAGCACTGCACGAGTGCACTGTGAGGCCTTTTTAATTTGAATGGTAGCCCACCAAACCTAGGCAACTGGCTTGCATCGCAACGCACAGTAACACTTCTTTGCACTGTGTTGCCAAAAAAGAGGCAAATTCCAGTTTTGGGTCCATTGGGAGCCCATTTAAAAAGCATTCCTACTCTAACATGGTACATTAAATATTGTGATGCACATTTTTGAAATAGATTTGGTTTATAAGAACCTCACTCCCCTCCATCTCTACGACCAAGTGGTTTCTTACAGCATAATGCATCAAAAGGGAAAAGCCTGAGAGCGTAGGCAGCCACTGAATAACGTTCTTGTAAGGAAAGCAGACACAGCGCGAGGCCTCCGTTTGCGGCATCAATGTGAAGATTGTGGCTTAGACTCTCCTGCCGTATTCTTTCCAGGACTTCCATAGACCGCAGCGAGGTGCTGAAGTGGTTATCATCCCACAGTTTGGAAATTACCTGCTTTTCCTTGTTCAAAGACTCTTCCAAGCCAAGGACAACCTCTCTGTACTGCTCTACGTTGCTGGTGCCGGTTTTCAGTCTCTCCTTCAGGTCACCGATTTGCTCTGTAGCCTGTTTTAGCTTATTCTTTATTTCCTCAATATCTTCGGCGTTCTGCTCTTTTTCTTGACAAAAGGAGACAAAAATCAATGTGTAAATATTGAGAAAACAGCAAAGAGAAACAATTTATAAAATACGTCACACATACTTCTACGGTCATGCTGCCTATGGTCATTTATTGATTGAGTTATGCCCATGTCACAATTTCATGTACCCTTAAACAAAACCAAAGAGAAGCCATTCAAAGTTCTAGGCTGGGGGGGAGGGGAGGGTCTGTGTTTTAACTACAAATGCCTCTGCGAGTCATGTCTGTAACGGCCAGTCTTGCAATGCCTCATGGGACTTGCAGTTCCACAACAGCTGGAGGGCCGGGGTTGCTCACCCCTGTTCTAGGCTCTCTCTCCACACTGTTCTGGTGTATTATGTTGTTTTTAAAAATGGACCTTTCAGCAAAAAAATAAAGTAAATACACACCATTGTAATCCCAACCCAACTTTTCTTAGTTAGTTTTCACTTTGCCCCTCTCTAAACTGAACCTGCCCCCTTCCTTGATTCTTGCCTAGATGAAAATTACGTTTCAGCCACCTCCTGCGATACAAAAGGTCACATTTCCCAGGAGGCATTGCTTCACATCATTCAAAAAACAAAAAACGAATATCTCGAAGAATGGCGACATGTT